GGGATAACCATTGTATTTCGTATCTTTTAGCTTCATGATATGTGAAGGATAACCATCGTGGTTTCTCTTCAGAAATATCTTCCTTTGGAAACTTGAACACTCGATCAGGTTAACTGAAAACTACTCTGCCCCAGGTTAAAATTGAGGGTTTTTCGTATAGGAAAGAAACTCCTAATTCAAAGCTCAAAAGGGGTTAACGAGGGATTATCTTCTTTATATCTCTGGTGTTTAGATATTTGAAATAATGCTTGTACATCATCAGCAAGATTTTGTTCAAAAGCATACGACCAGAGATTTTGCGTTTTTCAGATCATCATCCTCCCTCCAATTTCTGCCTAAGAAAGAGAATTAGAAACAAGTTGCTATCATAATGCAGAAAACCAATTGAAAATAAATACGAGTTAAACTAATGGATTTCTTCAAGACAAACATATTCATTATATTATCATTATCATTCAAATGCAAACAAACTCTTACATGCAAATAAAGCTTTAACAAATGTGAAAGATTACAAAAAGCATAAATGAGTTAATAATCTAGGAAGGCTCTCCACCTGGACTTGTGCTGGAGGAAACCTCTCCTTAAATTCAAGGCCAAAGTCAACATAGATTCACTCATGCTTTAGCAAAAGGGGTGACTTGAATGTTAGGACCGCAATCTTTAAATGACAAAATACCACTTTAGACCAGTTTATGTATTTTAGCCTTCAAAGAGAGACAATGATCATGTCCAAGAGCACCTTCATGAAAAGCACAAAAGTTATATTCCTTATACCACCATGGAATATCCTCAGGAACATCCGGTGGTGACGGAGTATGAATCAAATTCTTTTGTAATAAGAAAGGAAACAACTCTGAATGCAACACTGGAATCGGGTCAAAATGAGGTTTCCTCTGATTATGAAGTTGCTGATTGGGAGTTATGGGAGTTGTTTCACCATAGGGGTGACAGAAAAAAAACATGTTGTTTTTAGTGATGATAATCTTCCCTTCTCTGGGGTATCCTTGGTTCTCGTTGTGGTTGCGGCTGATTTGTAGGAGTTGGGTTAACTGATGGCATAACAAAAGTAACTTGTGGATGTTGATAACTCCTTTTTCTACATATGAGTTCCCTTTGTATTTCTTGAAAAGTATCAATGGAGTCTTGCTCTCTTTTATTGGCGAATATATAACCGTATTTCTTCGCATTATCGGCCAAGTTACCATCCTCAGACAAACATTCCTTTCGAACATCCCTTTTTTAGAAACGCTTCCATATTTACCTCTTCAGAGAAATCATCAGGTGTATTGAGTACCACCTTCTCATGAAAGAAGGACTTAAATTTTTTTGCAAAGACCTTTTCCATCTCTTCTTCCTTTATAAGATAATTGACTTGGGAGGCAATCAAAATTTCAACCAAACTAGTTAGATGCTTTATACTAGCTTTCAAAGTAACCATCTCCTTACGGAGTTCATAAATCTCTTGCTTAATATTTCCCATCTTTCTCTTAGCGCGAGTGTTGTACTATGGGACTAAAGGAAAAATAAGACTCGGGAATGAATTTCGAAAGTGAAACAAAAATGTAGAATGATGCATGATATATGCAAATGGCAAGTTCAATGCATTTCTAAGGACCTCAAATTTTGACTCAAGCTTCAAGCGAGAAATAATTAACAACAAAATGTGATAAATGAGTTTAGTACAAAGTTAATAGCCTAAAGGATACAAAATACAAAGCCAAGATATCCCAATTAAAAGACCCGACGGTGATCATCAAAAATACAAATCATAAACCCTAAGATGTTTCCCCAAACTCTACATCAGCAAGGGTACCCTAAAATAGATTCTCATTACTCCACTCTTGGGCCCTTTTAAAGATCTCCTTCGTTGCTTCACTCTTTGGTCTCTCAATTAGCTCTTTGATGAGTACATCCCTTCTATTGATAATGATTTTCAGATGATCAATCTCTTCTTGAAGCTGAAGGCCGTAAAAATCTTCTTCATGATCTTCATCTTCAGACTTCGTGACCTCAACTTGAATTTCCATCCAAACATTGTAACTGATGGTATTCCTTTTATAGTGTCCATTTATGAGTAATGAGCTTGATACGAGAATAAAATATAAAGTTCCCTAGAAATGAAATGACACGTATGTCACAAGCATGTCATGGTGTTTATGAATGCATGAATGTATAACTATGCAACAAACACATACAAGGTTCAAAGGTTTAACATCACAAGCATGGAGTCAAAGGGTGAGAATTAACCCATAAGGTGTGTACTAAGGTTTTATCACTTGTTGAACAAGGTTCTAAGGAAATCCAAGAGTCTACGCTCTTCCTTTGGATATTATCAATGTCCCAATTACTTGGTAATTAGCAATATCTGCATGAAAAAACTCGTCTGAATGCAGCATCGCGTGACAACTACATTTGGATTACTCTGTCATAGTCTCTGCACTACATCTAAAAAGGCCAAGATGGTTTAAGGGTTCTGCGGCTCTCAGCTTCTCTGGCTCCCAGGTCGAAAGCAACATGCCTTCCCAATTACATCGTAAACAATGCTACATTCAAGGGGACCTCCACTGAGTGGGGGATTTCATGTATCCTTCTTCAGAATTACTCCATCAAAGTTAACATGACTAAACCTCCCATCCTAATCTTAAGTTTAACTTAGTCCGAGTATAAGACTCGTCATTTGTAATCAATATCCAAAGAAACCACAAAGTAACACATATAAACACACAAACAATAATAACGAAAAAAGATAAAAAAAATTAGGTTTAACCCACTTAGAGTAATTTTTAATTCCCCAACAGAGTCGCCAATTCTATAACGGTGAAAATTGAAGATCAAACTATTTAATTACTTGACTCGCAAAAAAGCAAAAGTCGCCACCGCGCTTTATTATTTCCAAGGGAAAGGGGAAAAGTCAGAAATAAAACCCATAAATATGCAAAGTATAAATAATACTAAAAAGTAAAAAAAATATAATACATTTGAAATATTGAAGGTTCGGGAGTTGGTTATACAAAGGAAATGTGTTAGCACCCAATGCATCTGCGGTACTCTGCATGAACCTTTTCAAATATCTGTGTCTTTTTGTTAAAATATTGTTTTGCTTGCTAAACGAGCGTGGGTTTGAGATTTTGAAAATGCAACGACCTAATGTCGAGGTTTTGGCTTAAAAGAGCATGATTTTGAAAATTAGGGTTTAGAAGAGATCTAACTTAAGATTATTAAAACTACAAAAATCTATGAAGGGGTTTCGCATAATCTATTAAATTTGATGACATGAAGTCAACAAATTTGATTCTTTCCCTTGGAGTTAAAGCCATAAGCAGATAAGTAAATCCAAGAGCATACCAAACCTCAGGTGAAAATAAATCACAGGCAGACAACATCAGAGAAACTCAAACATTAGATAATACTCAAAGAATCGGAGAAACAACATCAAGTGAAAATAAATCATAAGCCAGGAAAGTGTACCAAGTAAGCTCAAGGTGTCGGATAAAGCTCGAGATATCGAAAAAGGCTTACGGTATCGGATAAAAAAAATTTCTGCATCAGATGAAAATTCCCAACAAAAAGACGAAACCGAAAGGAGAGAAATAATCCAAACATCTCAATAAAACTCAAGTCTAAGTGGTTTAGAAACTTGTATCAAAGCTAAATGAATGAATGAGATATGAAGTGAAGGGTATTAATAAGAATATTAATCAACACATATTTAATCATGAAAGAAAAATAGGAAGTAATAAAATAAATCCAAACAAACAATTAATAAAAATTAAACAAATAAACAAATAAGAGTTTCAATTAAAAGACAAAGAAAAATTATGTATACATGTGACAAATTATTTTACTAAGAAAAACTAACTAAACAATATTAAATTGTTAACTAGAGTGAGACAATTCTAAGAATTACTAAGTAGATTTAAGACTAAGTTAGATAAGAAAATTTTTTAATATAAAAAAAACTATGTTATTACTAAAAAAAAATAGTTAAGAAAATTATTTAAATAGAAAAAGCAGAAAATAGGTATACAATTAGTTAATTTTTTATAAGCTAAAAAATAAATAAACTGTAGGTCCAAGTTTATGAAAAGATGAAACAAGTTAGAAAAACAATAATAATAAAAAAAACAAGTGATCACGCTTAAAATGGTCTGGGTCGGGTCAGACTCGGGTCTGGCCTTTTTGAAATAAAAAAAAAACGGTTCAAAGGAACCCTAACAAGCATTCACTCAACATTTCCTTGTTTATCTCAAGTTACTCTTCCCAATAAAATTTTAATTCCAAATTAAATGCTGAAAATTTCCCTTAATTTTCAATTAACACAAATAGGTCACAAAAATCAATCACAACTTCCTCTCTCATCTTTTATGTTCAAACTTCATCTAAACCTTTCTCATTCTTTCGAAAATCAACAACAAAATACCTTCCCTTTGAGATTCTCACTGTAACACCAACAAAAAAAACTCTCTTCCCACTTTACTTTCACGATTCCTCTCTCAAACTCATGCTCTTCCCCTCTTTTTTCGCTCAAACCTCTTCTCCAAAAACCCAGCGGTGCTCTTCAAAAACATAAAGAAACTCAGTAATTGGTGAGTTTGTCCTTATGGTACTCTTTGCTTTCAATCTTCTTCTTTTTTTCCTTATTTCGGTTCCAATCCTTCCTCTATGTTGTTGTTCTGTCACGGTCTGTGAGTTAGTGTTTTCGAATGTGTATTGAAAGTTTACCGAGTGTGAGGTGTGATAAGTTTATGTTTTGAAACAAGGTTTGAATATGGTGGTAAGTGTGAGGTTGGAGAGGTTAGTAATGATTTTCTGTAGGTGGTCTGTTGGGTGAATGGAGATATTATGGTGGTGTTTGTGAAGGTGATGTGGTGGAATAAGAGTTTGGTTTATGAAGGTAGCAGTTAGTGAAGCGAGTGTGAATGGTTTTAAGGTGCTTTGTGGTATAGTTACAGGGTGTGTATGAGGCGGCAGATTAGATGATTTTTGGTTTTGATTTGTGGATGGATTGTTTTGACGGTTCAAGGGGTATTGAAGGTGAAGTATGGTTTTGCAGGTTTAATGAAGTATGTTGAAGGTTTAAGCAAAGAGATTTAGTGAAACATGAAGGTTAGAGTTATAATGGAGGGTTAAGGTTTTGGTTACGAGGTTAATGGAGGTGGATGAGCAGAGTTTTGTGAGTGATTTTTATGGTTTTCTCTGCTTGTTGTTGGTTCTATGAGGGATTTAGGAAGAGGTTTTATGATGTGATTGTTGGTGTATATCCGGTCTTTATGAGAGTTTTTTTTAATTGCAGTGAAATAAGCAGAATTTTGTGTTATCTTTGTGTGTCTTCCCCCCTTTCTACTATGAATGAAGCATGTATATATAGTGATACGATTGAAATATTTGAGGGGGGAAATTTGATTGTCTGGGAGGGATTTTTTAGTGTTGAAAACTTGGTTCTGATATACTGTTTCATTGCTTTTTATTGCAGATTTATGTTTTTGACATTTTCGTACAAATTTTGGACTATTGTAGGCAGCATAAGCATAAGGCACCAACTTGTTTTTTTTGTTGTTTTGGTGGTTACAAGTTGGACAGGTTTTGTGCAAGTTTTGATGGCTACAAGTTGGAAAATGGATTGGGACAAGGCATGGGAAGCAAAGTAGGTGTTGGACTGGTTTTTTGACAGTTTGTTTGGCATTATTATGCCGGTTTTTTAAAGTTTTTGAAGTGTTGTGAAGCATGCTTTGCAAGATTTGTAACAGCTGATTTTGGACAGCAGACAAAGGAATATTTTGGATATTGGTGCAACAAGGCAAAGTTGGTTGCATAGTTTTCCATATTGGCATGAAGAAAATATTCTTGGAGATTGAAGCAAAACTTGAAGTATGGAAATTAACATGAAGGTCAAGACATTTAGTATTAGGCTTTTGTATAATTTTTATAAATGTTTCAAGGAAGTAAAGCTATCATCTCTTGTAACTTGTACATTTTAAATTATGAGTGAAAATGTGTCCTAGTTACTTGAATCAAAATTTGGATCACCTTGTATGATATTTGTATTCTTTGTAGAGACTTATGCTTGTAAATTTGAAAAGAACTTCAAAGAATTGAGTTTTTGTGATGAACACAATGATGTGGGCCATTTTAGGATCATGTTGAATGCCTTAAATCTCAAGTAACATGAACTTCCCAATCTTACATACTCAAATTGATTCTTGAGATCAAGATGTACACTTTGTCTTTGATGCTTGAATTCAAGATAACCCACATGGATTTACTTAGCATTTTGAACTTGTATGGCTTATTGCCTAAATCTCAAGAAATCTGAATGTCTCTTCTTTCCAACCTTGCAAGCTTGATGAACAAATTTAAAAGGAAAAACATTATGGCATGAATTGTGGCTTGGAGGTTAAGAATATTCTAGGTTACAAAAATGACCTATAACGTTTCAATAAATTTCATAGCCTTCAAAGCGTAATATGACTTTGATCCTTGAAGAAAACTCGAAGACGACATCACTCATGACAACGTGCAAAAATAATAGTCTCAAAATATTGGAAATTGAGAAATTATGATCTTTAAAAGTCGGGCTATAGTTACTTGAAATTAGGGCAAACTCGCAAAATGACCTCTAAAATATTCAAATTTTTGTTGATACTCCGCACATAATCAGCTCTTGACTTGTAAAGAGAAGTGAGAGATGACGTCAAGGAGAGTCATACGCAATAAGAACCACTCAAAAATATGGAACAATGAAGAAGTTATGATTGTTTGAACTTGAACTTGCAAAAGTTGACTTTTGGTCGAAGTGTTTTGAATTGTCTCATATAGCTTGATATTTTCTTGTGTTCTAAGACATATTATCACGCATATGGACTAGTGACGATGAAATCTTGATTGTGGTTAGAGATTAAAGGCTAAACTTTGATGAAGTAGCCTTTGAGAATCAGTGATTCATCATACTTGAAAAACTTGAGGATTAGAAACCCTAATTGAGGCGCAACACCTTACGCTTCTTGATTCAGACTTGTCTCTGCATATGAAACCAAAGAAACACAAACATACTTTTGTATTGGATTAAAAGTTAGTGATGCATAAAATAAAATGTTCACAATAATGGATAATCTCTGCATAAGCAATGCTCGAAGGTGAGCGGGTTAAAAACCAATTGTATCTCGTGACCTTGATGCTTTATGAAAATGCATATGAAGGTGGGATCTTAGGTCAAAATTTTGGGTATGACACTAAGATAACTGCAATTTTGGTAGGTCAGAACAAAAATGTCCTATAAGATTTTGAGACATCTAATCTGAACATAAACACATGGGCAAGGTATAAAGAATATAAAAACAGTACTGAAAAGCATAAACAACACATATGAATTGTTAACCCAGTTCGGAGCAACTCTCCTACTCTGGGGGAATACCAAGTAAGGATCAAGTCCACTATGATAGTATCAATCTGAAGTTAAACTCCACCCGTTTACAACTTCTCACTTAATCATCATTACCTGTGCTATACTTCTACCTAAGAATCACCTAGGTATGAGGCCCTCCTGAAATCCCTTTCAATCACAGATAGAGATTTGACAATAACACCAGAAGACAAACTTCCATGACAACAAGCTCTAAACAATCTGCACTATTACAGCAACCATCCATAGACAAGACCTAACTCCCCCTGTCATGGATAACCATGTCTCTTATAGAGGATAAAACACTTTAGCACACAGAGAAATTCACAATATCAAAGTGAAGAGCCACAACTTCACACACTTGTTGAACTATATCCACACCCTTGTGAATATAAACAATCATGAATATGATACCCCGGTTCCATGTCTTCAGACTTCTTCAAGTTCATGTCTGATACATGGCCTTACCGAATCATACAAGTTGTCATATGTCTTTTGGATAACCAAGAAGTCGTGTACACATGCTTGGTAATCACACAGACACAGGAAATCAGAAAGCTTGCTTTTATACATACCAGGCTGAACAGAGGAAAAACCACCTTCTTCACAATCTTCCTAATCAGATCACACTATTTGATGATATTCCTCTGCCCTTACATTCATTAGTAATTTATGATACTAGTAAAGTCTTCAACATAATATTCATGTATTCTCCAAGCATGCTACTGTAGACAGGACCGAAATCTGCACATTTAGATCCACAAAGTCATACTTCATTTTCTGACAACAAAGTTGATCCTCAATCCTCCATAATCATAATCCTAGACCTCCTTCAGAGATAACACAAAATGATGTTACAACATCATTTAGGACATCAGCTTTTCTTCACATAACCTAATCAAATGGTTCTTGATTTATCAGTCAAAGAGTTCATTATACTTGATAGTCCTTTCAAATAAGAAGATCTCAAAAGCATACACCTTCTGCAGCTTATTTAGGTAATCATAGACACCTGAACACCCAATGAGAGAAATAAACTCTCATAAATTTTCTGAACCAAAGAGATGGAAACCAGATTTGCATCCACATATCTAATAAATACCCAACTCCCGACAAGGTACAACAAGCACATCTTCACAAGATCAGACTTATACCCTGCTCCCGACAAGGTATTTTTCATCAGAGGAATACTTTGCCACAAACTGCAGACAAGGCTCCCCTTCAACGGATGTTAGAAAATTTATTCTAACATCCTCCTTCTTCACATTACTAGCACAAGAGGATTCTTCACAATATTCCAAACTTGATCAGAGACTGTACTTCACACTCCATCATGGTTAAACATTCCAATTTTAGAATTCATTGGTGATCAGCAATGTCCACCCCGTGATCTTCATTTCAGCTTCCTTCTGAAGCAACAAACACACCTGAGATGATGTTCTAACGTCATTCTCATTCACATGGACTTCACCCTTAACTATGGTTCTAGAGATGATACCAATAGAAAGTCCATAGACAGCCCTTGATGGAGAACTCAAGAGGAACATACTTCAGCAGCTGATCATATATGCAGATGCAAAATCAGCAGCTGATACCACAACCAAGGAGGCTTTTTCATAAGTACATTCTCCAGACCTCCCGTCTGCCTTTGAGGTGTTAAAACACCATCCTTGTAAATCAAAAAGAGAAGATTCCCTCTATCACACAGATCACAACGACCATGGTATTTGTTGATATACCATGAAAAAACTACCCAGAAAAGTTTGTTTCTCCCATTCTTCAGTCTTAACCAGTTTGACAATTAAGCAAATTGGACAATAATCATATGGCTGAATCACACCATGACTGTAAGTTAATCATCCAGAATATTAACTTAACTCATGTTGATGCATTTCCATTGCACATAACCCCTTGTATGTCTCTTCCACTATAGCAGAACAAGAGTTCCATGTTCTCATAGACTTGATAAGTGATATCAAGTTCAAGTAAACAACCTTCATCCTATTTGAGAGAAACACCAGTCACACACCTTGAGAAAACTAAATTCTCAACACACAGATGTCAAGACATTATCTCTGACATCTCAAAGACCCCTTAAACTCCAGATCAAGAAATTTCTTCAATAGCTTCCAAGAACCTTTGAGAATCATACATTATTTCCCTCAGAAGCAGCACAACATGTGGTTAGTGCATACCACCATTACTCCCCTTAAACAGAATATGTCTTATGTCCATAAAAAATATTCCATATAAACCTGGCTTCTTTGATCAGAAGAATAAACTAGATGTCAGAGAGAATGTCATTTACATTTGACCTTTATGTACAAGGAACCTGGATAAGACAACATACCTCTATTGGACACTAGAGTTCAGCCTTAGCACATCTACTAACTTGGATCAGAAATAAACTAACCAAGAAGTAACCAACTGGTTGATCAACATTCAACCAGCCCACCAATCTAAGACATGTTCTCTATATAAAACATATTAGATACACAACACATATACCCCATCTTCCAAATCAGGAGTAGGTTCCAGACATAAGTGATCATCACACATATGTCTGGCACCCAAAGCATCTATTATGCAACAGGAATACACATGCCTGCTGACACAATGTCCCAACATCTAGTAGGACATTAATTCCCTATTTCTGGAACACAATGAAGTCACCATTGCTTCCAGAAAATCAAAGCATCCCTTGATCACATTCAAGGTCTTCAAAAGAAGTCCAAGCTCCAGCTACACCAACAACAACAAGACTCAGAGTCGCTTTCCTAATTAGGTCAAGAATTCGAAAGACTCTTTTAGAAACCAAAATAAATGGCTCTATCCTTTCTTCAATAATTTATCAAATAAGTGACAGATTTTCTTGAAAAAAAAAATACATCAACCACACACTAAAGTGCCTTTATGAATGGACTTGAGAAAAGTAACTCAAGTATCATTGGAAACTTTTTAAAAGTTGGTTGAAACAGTCTTGCATATATTCCATCACCATAGGATAAACCTGTTGAGGAGACCAAACCCTAATGCCATGTTGATCAGGGTTACAACAGATACCATGCAGCGAAAAAACACAACAAATGCTCCTCAACATCCATCAGGCACGACACAAAATCTTGCATAAAACCACCATAATCCAGGTGCAAACAAAACAACCTAGGTTTGAAAATAAATCAATCCTAACACAACAACTCACCATAAAGCTACAGTCCTGATAACAACAGACAGGTCCAATACACACCCTGTCATGAACAATCCATCCTCCATTTCTATGGATCATTAAACCATAATATGAACTTATCCAAGTTCAACCAATTTTTCAGTAGATACCTCCTTACTTGCCCATGACCAAAAAGTATCATCCCAGGATCTCACCCAGAGACAGAACATGATGCTTGCTCTGATACCAATTGAAATTATGGTAGGTCAGAACACATATGTCCTTTAAGA